CCAATATTTGCACATCTTTTTTCCTTTGCGTGCATCAACATTTCCCGACATTAGGTAGCAACAACTGCTGTGTCTACCTTTTTCTGAAAAAAAAAAAGTACGCTGCGCCCGATCCCTTCCGCCCCGTCCCTCCTGCTTCTCATCTCTCTCATGTCACACTGCAGAAGCTGCTGGGAGCCTGCTACACCTTCCCCTTCACCCCCTCCCTTCCTTTTCTCTGAAGTGCGAGGACACACGCATGCACACACACACATACACACACTCGCGMGCAGACACACATGCGCGCGCGTGCAGTGGGGGGCGTGCTAGCTGCCTGCTGTAAAACAGCGTGGTGGTCAGAACTTCAGAGCTACTGGAACAGGTAATGGTCTGATAACGTCCAGCTACTTGAAAAACTTTATTCTTTACAAAGGACCAAAAATAAGTGAAAATGAAGGACAGGACTGTTATTTTTATTATGAAAAGTTAGCTTGCTGCTAGTTATCTATCAGCTAGTGTTAGCAATCACTTAGTGATGATATTCTCTATTATTGAGKTTTTTTTTTGTAAATCAGTTAAACTGTATTTTAATGCTAAGTTTGAGTCCAGGTCCACTCTGATATTTATTGATTCCCTGTTATAATTTACAATCATAAATTCACAGATTATTTCTCTAATTAAATATACTAGCTTCATAATTTACACATTATTTACATGACTTTTTAAAGCTGACTGAATTCAGGTGGCAGTAAAACTGTAATACTTCATCTATCTGTTGATGTAGAGCAGGATACAGAGAGTCAGAGGCAGCAGGTAGGACAGAGTGTCTCAGGTAGGACAGGGGGTCTCAGGTAGGACAGAGTGTCTCAGGTAGGACAGAGGGTCTCAGGTAGGACAGAGGGTCTCAGGGAGGACAGAGTGTCTCAGGTAGGACAGAGGGTCTCAGGTAGGACAGAGTGTTTCAGGACAGAGTGTTTCAGGTAGGACAGAGTGTCTCAGGTAGGACAGAGGGTCTCAGGTAGGACAGAGTGTTTCAGGACAGAGTGTATCAGGTAGGACAGAGTATTTCAGGTAGGACAGAGTATTTCAGGACAGAGTGTTTCAGGTAGGACAGAGTGTTTCAGGTAGGACTGAGTGTTTCAGGACAGAGTGTTTCAGGTAGGACAGAGTGTCTCAGGTAGGACAGAGGGTCTCAGGTAGGACAG